TTGTCTTGAACTTCAGTTAGTCCTCTTTCCATCACCCATGACAAACCTAGCTTACACTTCCTTCAGAAATCCTTGAATGTAGTACCCAAATGCATCACTTCTGCTTCCTTTCAGTAACCTGGCCCTAGACTAGAGTTTAGTACTAAGCCCATTCTGATAAAAATATAAATTTTCTGTGGATAAATAACATTTAAAAAGTTTTCACACAAAGCTCAACATCAAGAAAACAAAGATTCTCACCACTGAGATGACTGGCAGCATCATGATAGATGGTGAAGAGGTTGAGATTGTTAACAGCTTCAGTTTGCCTGGCTCCACAATCAACACTCAGGGTTCCAGCATCCAGGAAATTAAAAAATGAATTGAGAAAGTTGGCTGTCAGAGACCTCCCAAAGTACTGAAGAACAATGATGTCTGGAGACTAAAGTGCACCTAATAAAGGCCATGATCTTTGCAATTACTTACTATGCACTGGAAAGCTGGACAATGTCTAGGGATGATTAAAGGAGAATTGATGCCTTTGAGCTATGGTGCTGGAGAAGAGTGTTGAATATAACATGGCCAGCTAAGAGTACAAACAAGTTCGTCCTGGAGAGAGGGTGAAGCCAGGCTGCTCCTTGGAGGCAAGAATTCTGAAGCTTTGTCTGACATACTTCAGACATGTTGCAAGGTAGGACATCATGCTTTGGAGGGTGGAGGGACAGTGCAAGAGAGGAAGCCCCTGGCTAAGATGAATTGATTCAGTGACTGGGGTAATGAGGGTAGGTGTATCAGAGACAGTAAGATTGGCATAGGACATTGCAGGGTTTAGGGCTGTTGTACATAAGGTCGCTATGAGTCACGGGTAACTTGACAGCACATAACAACAACAATAATATTTGAAAGTAGTATTTCTCCTCGACTTTCCCTCCTTCTAAACTAGGCCATAATTTGTTGCGTGCCTTGCCTATCCAGCAGGAATAAGGACACAACACACCAGCGATTCCTTCTCACGGCGGTTTACTCAGGAGTTAGTTACAGTTAGGGAGAAAACATGGAGTTCCTTTTTGGACCCTTCCCAGGTGCGGCTTTTATCCCCTTCTCGGTACTCCGCCCATCAGTCTCATGTGTCATGCCTCCATTGGACCATTAACCCCACGTGAGATCAAGCCGTTGACCAATAAAGACACGGTGACCAAATAAGGTCTTATTTGTGATTAAGGCAAACAAAG